ACATTTAAAGCAGCTCTCAAACAAATAAAAACATTTAAAGCAGCTCTGAAAGAAACAAAGACCTGTAAGGATCCAAATGACGACTGAACTTGTTGAACTAACAACCTGGATGATAAAACACCAACTATGTCAAATAAAATTCTCTGTAAATAAAATCAGGGCAGCTCAAAGCTGAGAACATACAGGAGTTCAGCAGGTGGAGTTAAACAACATGTCTGGAACAGCCAGGTGATCTCAGCATCCAGCCCCGATTCTCTTCTTTATACCCTCCATCTGAAGTTCTGAGGTCCCCACAGAGTTCCTGAGAGTCCACAATCAGAACCAAGAGAAACCTCGAGTCTCCCCCGAAACTCTGACAGAATTCATAAAAACTATTTAGATTGTGATGAACTGCAGAACTGATTCAGCACGAAACAAACATCCATCGTCCATCCATCCGTTCATCAATCCATCCATCCATCCATCTCTTGTAAATGAGTCCTTGTGACTCAATGAGACTAACCTGTATAAATAAAGGTTGAATATGTCCATCCATCCGTTGGTCCGTCCATTTGTCCATCCATCCATCCATCCATTCATCCATCCTTTTGTCCATCCATCCGTCCATCCATCCATCCATCCATCCATCCATCCATCCATCCATCCATCCATCCATCCATCCATCCATCCATCCATCATTCATCCATCCATCCATCATCCATCCATCCTTTCATGTGTCTGTAGATCCATCCATCCATCTGTCCATCCATCCATCTGTCCATCCATCCATCCATCCATCCATCCATCCATCTGTAGGTCCATCCACCCATCCATCCAGCCATCTGTCCATCCATCCGTCCATCCATCCATCCACCCATCTGTCCGTCCGTCCGTCTGTCTGTCTGTCCATCCATCCATCCATCCATCCATCCATTCATCCATCCATCCATCCATCTGCATATTCATCATCCATTCAACATCTTTTGGTCTGGAGTTAAAAAGGGAATGCAAGTAAACTTTAATGTTTTTGGGACAAGATATTCAAGTAGATAGGCGTTACACTGTGTAGAAGAACAAAGGTATTTAAAAAAAAAATTTGTTTGTCCCAGGCAGGGTGGCTGTGGCTGAGCGGTTAGAGCAGTCGTCCTCCAATGCAAGAGTTGGGGGTTCGAATCCACCAGCAGTCACATGCCGAAGTGTCCCTGGGCAAGACACTGAACCCCTCATTGCCTCCGATGTGTGTCCCATCGGTGTATGAATGTGACAAAGCTCTGATTAGTCTCTTTAGAATGATTTGTTCAATTAGCTTCGTAGAGATCTAGTAGAGTGCTGTATGAATGGGTAAATGAGGACACAGATTGTAGTGTAAAGCACTTTGAGTGTTTTCATAAGATAGAAAAGTGCTATATAAGTACTGTCCATTTACCATTTACCAGTCAGCACAGAGTGACAGATCCTGGTGAGTGGAGGGAGCAATTTTATCCACAACCAGGCACATTGGCAGAGCCATGAGGTGGCTTATGGGGACCTTGGCCATCCATAGATTAATATTCGGTCACCCCAATCATTTGAAGTAAACTATATATTTAAGCGATATAAAGAACATAGTCAACTCAAATGATAGAGGTGGCTGGTTTACATATATACATACCAGTGGCCATCTTGGATTTTGACGAAGCAATACAATTTTTGATAGGGAGATTTTTATGCCTAGATACAGCACACAAAAATTAAAGTCAGCATGTTGCTCATTTTTCAAGTAATCAAGCTCACAAAGTTTAAATATATACATATACGGCGACAACCATCTTGTATTCTGCCTTAGCAACCCAATTTTTGAAAGGGAACTTTCTTACGCCTGGATGTAGCCGCACACCAAAATAGAAGACATGACCTCACTTATTTTTCAAGTTATTATGCTTAAAGTATGCACGGATAGATGGATGGACAGACAGATGGAGGGTATTTCCAAATCCCTCTATTCACTCTGTGACAGGGGACAAATACACATTTGGCCAGTTCAGGAAAGGCAAACAAATTCAAATCAGACAACACTGACATAAAATCCAAGCATGAGTCCAGTTTTGCCACTAAAAACCCATAAAGGGTGAAGAGAATTACAGACTGTGGTTAGAATCTGATCCTGTTCTGTTCTTTGGATTTGGACTGAAATAAAAATGTTGCACATCACAGAGATGGAGTTTAAACTATCTTTAATGTCCATGATGGACAGCTGAGTCCAGATATTGTTTCAGTAAACTTCTTTAACAGCTGATCAAGTCTCCTCCACAGGTGAGAGGACTGAATCAGAACTTTTCACCAGGTTAATGATTGTACAAAGAGTTAAATTACACTATTTTTATGAACTGTATTATTAAAGCTTTTGTACATACGGTAAATAAAAAAGTTCATTATCTTCCTGAAATAAAACTGGTCCACCAGAAGCTGCTGAGGTGAAACTGTGTGTTCCTGTTCTTGACCTTTATTCTGGGTCATTTCACAGCTTTAAGTCCTTGTTTCCACTCAGAGCAACAGTTTAAGGGTCAGAGGTCATCCGTGTGATTGCATCATGTTTACAATCGTCTCTCAGTAATGAGACCCAGAGGACACAGTCTGTGTGGACACTCGGACGCTAACAGGACAATTAGCAGCTCGTGGGACTAGAGGAGGACGCTGTCCTGTCACCATGGTTACTACTGAGCAGCTTCAGGATATCCTTTGGGTGTTTATTCTCCAGAGCGGTGATCAGTGGGAGTAAGATGTGTTCACATCAGCAGTTGGACGAGAGCAACACACAAACATTCACAAGTTTTATTAGATTAGAAAAGTTACACAAAATAAAGTTTGATGGGAAGATTTGGATATTCGTCAACATTAGTCAGCACAAATCAAATTCAACTAATGTGAAGTTTTTGTGCAAAGGACCTGCAGTGGAAGGCAGGTGGGAGACTGGCAGGTAAACCCAGAAACATTTGTTTAATTAAACTACAAACAACCAATATGTTGAAGCAAAACATGAAATGAAAACCAAACTCCATGGGAGAAGAAAACTGACCATGAGAGAGAAGTGACAGGTGTGTGTGATGAAGCAGTGACAGGTGTGTGTGATGAAGCAGTGACGTGTGTGTGTGATGAAGCAGTGACAGGTGTGTGTGATGAAGCGGTGACAGGTGTGTGTGATGAAGCAGTGACAAGTGTGTGTGATGAAGCAGTGACAGGTGTGTGTGATGAAGCAGTGACAAGTGTGTGTGATGAAGCAGTGACAGGTGTGAGGTGA